AACATGTCACTTTTCAAATTTCAAACACTTCTAATATCTTTTTAACTTTTTAGATTTCAGATTTATCAAACACCAATGGAAATATTATGTTGTATTTTTATAAATTTGTTATATTATTTATTTTTTTATAAAAATATGTATATATATGATGAAAATAATTAAAAAATACTTATATTTTTGTTTTTTCTTTATTTAAATTGGTATACTTTATTTTTTTCTTTTAATAATTTATTAATTTTTAAAGAAAACAAGTCGGATCAAATCAGATCCGAAGATCCAATAGTATTTGAATTCAGATCAAGTCCTATCAGATCCATTCGGATCTGACATGAACAATCAGATCGAGTCCTACCAATAATACATATCACAAAATATTTTCGTGACAGTTTGAATAGAAAGTAAGAATGATGCTCTAAAGTGTATCACCAGAGATCATAAGTGCGAGGGGTTGGCAGCTAGAGGAGTTACCAAAGACTTTATAATGAGTTATGCATGACAGTTGTTGGAATGTACATGTGAGTAGGTGTATGGAATGAAGAGTGAAAGGAAATCTTATATCTAAAAGACACAAAAATGTAAGGGATTTATATATAATAGTGACTCATAATGCAACAATTTAGGCTTTTAGGTTGTAAATGGTGTCTATCTCTTATGTACAAATCTATTGCATGTGCATATATGACACGGTTTTGATGACTCATGGTTCATAACTCCCTTCGAGGCCCAACAACAACAGTGTCATATTGGAGTGGGAACGATCTCCATTGTTCGATATTTGAAAGCCACTGCCAGTGGGAAGTGGGAACGATCTCCCATATTAATGATACCTCTGACCATCTGTTGGCGCATGACAAGAATGTTCTGATGTTCTCAAAGTTATCCGTACATGCCCTCAAATTGTAACTACCTTCGCCGAATACCTCATTTGTTCATAGCCTTGCACATGCGAAATTGGCAACTTATATGTAATTGGGAAAATTCTAGATTAGTACCCTGTATTTTGAGTCTAGTGCCATTTTGGTCTCTGAAMTTTAAAATGTGACAATTAAGTATCTGAACTTTCAAAATATGCCAATCTAATACCTGCCATTAACCAGTCGTTAAGTGCCATTTGAAAATACACAAATACCCTTCAAGTGTAATCTCTCTTTATCAACTATCCAAACGTTGACAAAAAATGAACAGTACTAAATCCTTGCCTCTTCTATTCAAGAAAGTTAGGGTCACCAGAATGCCCATAACCCCAACTTTCTTGAATAGAAGAGGCAAGGATTTGAGACTATTCATTTTTTATCAACACGT